AATTGTATTTACTAGATGTGAATAGTTATATGGACAGATCTCTTAAAATGCAGCCATTCTGTCTGGGAAAATAACAGTTAAGTGGCTAATCTGTGGGACCACTTGAGTTATTCCTCAAACTCCTATTCTGCAGGATAAATAATGAATCTGCATCTTTCATACGTTGTGTGAAATTTGTTCATAGTTGCAGCTGTGGCCAGAGGGAATGTGAATTTTCCCCAACCCCAGTGGTAGTGTCACCCCATTTATTAGTTTGCTCTAAACTATAAAGATAAGAATTATATGTTCACAAGTCAAGATCCTGTTCACAACCTTCACCTACAAAGAAATTGTTCATTGAGATGTTTATTTGGCCAGGTGTGGTTGAGACGTTGAACATCTCACCATGCCCAACTCCACAGTTGCTGGAGGTCAACTTTGCCACTACATTTTTTTGACATAACTTGAAGATATATTTGTTTAGAAAGGCATCCTTCTTTAGGACAAAAATCATCCTAAGTTATGACAATCACAGCAGCTAGCTGATTTCTGAGGAACTTCCAGCCCCTGAGAACAACAACGCTACTTTGCCTTGAGCTGGGCTCTTTGAGGCATGACTGCTGCTTCCTCTTTGGAGACGTCATTTAACTGTCTCAATGCAGTTTGCGTAGCATCAGTGTTTGTTCCTTGTCATATATCCACAGGTCACTTCCTGCTCAGAATTGCTAGTAAGGATGTGAACGTGAACTTAATAATCAAACTAACAAACCACAGTGGCAAATGACCATGAAATTTGATTCCATCAATAAATACAAGCAGAAATGGCTTCCTGTCATGTATCCTTTCCCTAATATTTTCACCAGCATATTAGGAGGCCTCAAAATTTCTGCCCAAGCACTTAAGGGTTCATTATCAGAGTAGGGTTTTTTTTTTTTAATTCAATAAGTAAATCTATATAATATGGCAAAGATTCAATGAGTATTAGTTCACAATAGGGTACTTTTCTTAATCTATAATCTAAGGGAGGATTTGGGAATATAATTTTGTATTTTCTTGCTTTATATGGTTACCTTTAACTCTTCATGCCATACTTGAATTCAGTTGCAAGCAAGTTTCATCCACCAATTAGGCTTGGTGTCAATTAAATTAAACTGGAACTAGACCTTAAACCCCTAGAGCTGTAAAGGTTTATTGTCACAAATACAGAAACAAGAAATGGAAAGAACCACTATACTCTTACTATATTAAATGCTACTTTCATGTGCCATTAGTTATGAAGTTGTGCTTTTCACTGCTTTAGAAGCTTGCCTCAGTTGTATCTTTTAATTCAACTAACAAAAACATTCTTGCAATGAGTGCTTTTCCTAATTGCAGATACAACCATGACAATAAAGATAGATGTTATATTGATGTTTTCCCATCTGAATCTGCATTTAAATATCACCAGGTAAATCATTGTCACATTAAAGTTTGAGAAACCATGGAAACCGTAGTCTAGATTACTGGAATCTAGGTTGTAGATTATAAAATTATAGTTTTGTAGTTATTCTAATTTGTTCTTTTTGTTCAGAAGGAAGCAAATTTTTAACTTGACCAGTAATCCATTAATTTAAACTCAGTTTCACAAATAATGCATATCATTTTAACCTGTCAAAGTATCCTTTTATAGATGTTTTTGATTTAATTTTTACACATATATTGGGTCATAAATCAATTATTAGAACAGGTCTCCAAAGTTTATCTTTTTTCTAATTTAAGAAAAAATAGAATTTTTTTCTAATTTATACAAGGATTTAGAATTAAAAGTTGACTGAATGTTAGATTTTCCCTAGTATAAGAAACTATTTTATGTTATCCCCCCTTTTTTTGAGAATATTTTGAATATGTGTTCAATGTTTTAAGAAAGAAGAAAAGAAAAACTCTTTATCTGCTAATCATTTCTGATGTACAAATATAACTTCTTATATCTGAGTTTGCTGTTGTGCTGATGTGTTTTATCCAATGCTTAAACTTCTGAGTCCAACTCAAAGTTGGTGCTAGGAGAGATTTATTTTGTATAATGGGTTGTTTTTACATAGGTCTTCATTTTTGACAAGAAACTGACAAGAAACATGATCTAGGAAATTAGCATTATACCCAGGAATAGGAACTAAGAATCCTGATTTGTGCATTCATTTATTGTGTGTCTTTTGGATTGTGTGTTTTATTGTTCAGAGTCTTAGTTTTTCCATCTTTCTGAAGAAAAGAAAATAGTAAAAAAAGATTTACAGCATCATAATTTTTGCTAAAACTCCAAAGCTTACTTATACTAGCTTTTATCCTGATCCTTTTCAGGAAATTTCAGGTCATTCTTGCTTGTCTCTTCATGTCAAATTTTTCAACTTACATCAAGAATCTGGTTTGAAAACCTACTTTGGACTATTAGAAATTAATAACATGGTTTCATTTTGATAGATAATAGCCCTTTCCTTATGAGATGTATTTTAATTTGTCTAAACTCTTGTGACCTAGATCAATGATTCTTAACCATTGCCGCCTTATAATTTATTAGAAGACTTAAAAATAAAAACAAAAGCAGGACCTAGGTCCTGGCAATAGAACAATTAAGTAGAAGTCTCTAGAGGAGAGACATGAAGTAGAACCTGCATCTTTAAAGCACTTTACACTAATGTGTTTCCAAGTGTTGAGGACCACTGATGGGAAATGCTTAATGTTAAGTGCCATTTATCATTAATGGGAGCCTATTATTGTACATTAGCAGTAAAGGACAGAAAACTCATATAAAAATTCTGAGGTATCTATATTGGAATCTTAAAATGATCCACAATTGGTAACCTGAAAGGACAAAATTCCACCTTCCTTCTTTAGTAGATCACTACTAACAGGTCTCAACCTCTTTTTTTTTTTTGAAAGATTTTATTTATTTATGCATACAGAACTGGGATACAGGGTACAGACCAGAGGTGGTGAGAGGATTCACCAGAAACAGAGTGAGGAGCAGAATGGGCAGATGGACAAAATATACTGCTAAGGGGAGCAGTGGGTGACAAAGGAGAGGTCTGCTGCGCCATGTGGATTACCTCCAGGGCTGGGGATCGAACTTGCACTGAAGTAGCCACAGCTCGGCTTAGCTTTGTAGTATAGCACTCCAATCCACTACATCACCAGGGAGGGTCCAGTCTCAACCTCTTAATCCTCCGTATAATCCTCAATTCAAATTGAGGATTTTTACTTAAATATCAAATTTAAATATCAAAAAAATGCTAAAAATTTTTGATATTTTTTTACTTCCCCCAAAAGTTGCTAATTTCTTTAAAAAACCAAAATAATCTCATTTGTCTACAAACCTCCCCCTAAGTGAAATGAAACAAGTTGTAGTTGTCTCCCTGGGCTTTCCCCTCCCTTGTTTCCCTGCTTTTAAGGCACCAAAAACCTTATTTCAGATATCTTCATTGAAAGGTCAGATTTTACATCAGACTTGAATTTGAGCAGAGGCAGGGGAATTCTGCTCCTCCACTTAAACTGAATGACATTGATCAAGCTGCTTCATCTATTTGACTCTTACTGTTTGTCAGTAAAATGGGAGTATCAACTTTATCTAATAATAAATGAAATTTTAGTCTTCTTCTCCCTTTTCCAGTCAACAGACATTTATAGGGTTCCCACTAAGTTGCCAATATTGTAGTAATTCTAGGTAAACTACTTCAAATAAGGAGACACTATGTGTTCTCCATGTGCTTCCCTTGACCCCTTAAAAACCTGATTTTCAGCCTCATGTATCTTTTCGCTCCTAGGAACTCACCTTGAATGTCCTGCGAGCATCTCAAATGTGTCATGTCTAAATTGAACAATTATGTCCCTAATTCCCACCCAAATCTGTCTTTCTATATCCACTCTACTTGTTAAACGAATCACTTTACCCATCCACCTCCTATTCGCTCCTTTCTCTCACTGTATTCTGTTTGATTCCACTTCTTGAACTCTCTTGAATCAATCCTTGCCATCATTTCTACTTTACTCATCTCTTTGGTGTTCATCACTTTTATTGGTTTTGAGGAACCTGTGATTTTCTAAACTATATAGTTGTTTATGCTCCTTCTTTAAAGTCATTCAATTCTCTCCATCTTTTCAGGACAAAATTGGTAGACTCCAAATTTACTTTGTAGAACTGGTCTTCAACTGATCTTCCAGTTTCTTCATCTCCTATTCTTTCCTGGTGCCTTTCACTTATGGTATACTCAAGGTCTTATCATGTCTTCTCAGGCTTTATGCCTTTGTACTCATAATTCCCTTTCCTTGATATTGTCCACTTGCCAAAAAAAATTGATTACCTTTCAGAATTTTGCTTGGTAATGTCATCTCTCAGAAAACTTCCCTAACATTTCTCCTTACCCTCATGTTGCTTTGCTTTCACATTTCACCCTATCACTTATCACAGTTCTTTGTGGTTGCCTACCAACATGGCAAATTTCATACTCTCCCCCTTGATGATAAGAGTTATCACTTTAATTTTGTTACTGTACCTTCTACAACACATATATGTTATGCAGATACAAAAGTGTAATTCTAAAACTCTTTGCATTATATCTTTGAACAGTGTAAAAGCTTAAGAGTTCCCTTTAATCCTTATGTGAGACTCTTGTAACATCAAAAGTTGAGAAATATTGGAATCTAATTTTTCTAGGTAGAAACAGTTGTAACTGAGGTATTCCTTTTAACATCAACATATTTATAAAAATAATTTTATGCAATCACATAGTAGATTCTAACTGAATTAGCAAAGGGTGTTTTTTTTAAATAGGTGAAAAATCCCTAATATTATGTAACTCCAATGTATTGCAATTATAGCAAATTGTGTTCTCCTGAAAGGGTAAATTTCTTTGTACAGAGAAAACTTTGCATTCTTGTTGACTGTAAGAATACTTTATTGTAGCTTATGTTCAGGTGGTGGTGGAATGAATGAGATGAACTGTACATATAGAAATGATAGCTACTAATGCCATTTATCATTTCCATTTATAGGTATAACCATTTAAAGAAACCTTCTTGCCAGCAAATCTATGATAAAAAATATAAGTAACAGAGGAAATTATAACTGTTATTTGTCAAGTGACAAACTTTTAATGTCAGAATGGCTCACCTAAGGCGACTAGTGAAATTACCTCTTAAAAGATATTACCATAAAAAGTTCTGGAAACTTGGTGCAATAATATTTTTCTTCATACTATTTTTGATTTTAATGCAAAGAGAAGTAAGTATTCAACATTCCAAAGAGGAAACAAGTATGGAAAGAAATATGAAAAACAAAAACAAGATGTTTGACTTTATGCTGGAAGCTGTCAACAATATTAAAGATGCAATGCCAAAAATGCAAATAAGAGCACCTGTCAGGGAAAATATTGATGCTGGTAAGAGACCCTGTTTGCAAGGATATTATACAGCAGCAGAATTGAAACCCGTTCTTGACCGCCCACCTCAGGATTCTAATGCACCTGGTGCTTCCGGTAAAGCATTCAAGACAACCAATTTAAGTACTGAAGAACAGAAGGAAAAAGAACGTGGAGAAGCAAAACACTGTTTTAATGCTTTTGCAAGTGACAGAATTTCTTTACAACGAGACCTTGGACCAGATACTCGACCTCCTGAGTATGTTGAAAGATATTCATTGCTTACAATATATAAACAGAGTTTGCTGGGTAGGATAATACCTGAGGGGAAGTTGTTTTGCTCTTCAGCCACACTGAGGCCAACAATCAGCAAACATAATTTAATTATAAAACATTTATTTTTTTAAAATTATTTTTTCCTGCCATTATTGTAACTTGATATCTGTATCTATGCTTGGCATTGCAGGTATGAAACATTTCATCTTAGGTATTAGAAAACCAAATTCTAGAACTAACCTCTATAGACAAAAATTAAATTCTTTATTCTTTTTTTTTTTAAAGATTTATTTATTTGTGCATACAGAACTGGGGTACAGGCCAGAGGCTCAGGGGTGGCGAGAGGCTTCACCAGAGACAGAGTGGGGAGCAGAACAGGCAGATCAATGAAGAATACTGCTGAGGGGAGCAGCGGGCGGGTCAGGAGAGATCTGCTGCGCCATATGGTCACCTCCCGGGCAGAGGGGAATTGAACTCATGTGGAAATGGCTTTAGCTTCTTAGTGCTGTGGTTTAACCCGCTGCGCCACCAGGGAAGGCCTAAATCCTTTATTCTTAAATGCTTTAGTTTTCTCATTTACTAAGGAGGAAATATTGGACAGTTTTCATGGGAAATGTGGGAGGTGGAAGAATTGTTTCAGTTCCTCTGTGTATTACTATAGAATAGAGATGTTAAAAAATAAGTCAAGATTTTGGAGCTATTAGGTAACTGTTTACTAAGTCACAAGTTTTGTGGTTATTTAAATGTTTTAATTATATTGCAAAATGTCTGTCTTTTGTAACCTTTCTTTTTAAGGTATAATATTGCTACAATTACTATTTTAACTACCACTCTCTCTCTAAAGTTGGAGTAAGTTCTCATACTTACAATGTTGTCTCCCTGTAGCATCTGAGAGATCAGCATTCCTTTTTACTGAGTCACTTTGTTTACACATTTATCTCAAGTATACAATATTTCAAATATTTTCCCTCAGAATCTCTAAGCTGTCTTTTGGTCCTTAGTTAACCATGTTATCATTTTTGAGATAGTGTTCAAATGCTCTTTTTCAACTAAAACAACTGAAGTGAATTCCCAGTATTTTACAAAACCTCTGTAGATTAGTTAGAAATGACAGGTAGGCAAATTATAAGCAAATGAGTGCTTAATTATTTTGTTATCTAGTTAGAACAAATTATATTTGGAAGTGAACCTGGGAAAAAGAACTTTTCTAGACTTACATCTTTGGTTTCACTAATATTTTTATAGCTTTGTGATTATGAATACCTGCTTCAATTTTTAGTCTCTCAGTGTGAATTAGCTCCATTCTAATCTGGGTGATTGAAGGTTGTATTGCTCATTGTTTTTTGAATGAACATGTGAAGAAATAATTGACTGTCCATAAAATATTCTAGTTTTTTTTTTTTAACAGAAACTGCCATACAATTCCTTTTTCTATATTAAATAGTTTAAAATGCAGTATCTCACTTTCCTGATTTGGGGACTGTCTTGACCAAAAAATAATTCACATTACAAATCAAGAAACAAGATTTTTGTTCTTCAACATGATGGTCAATGTCAGCTAAAGATAAACATTTTTTTTATTAAGAAGCTGCAATGTTTAAGATTTTTTTTAAAGATTTTATTTATTTATTCATACAGAACTGAGGTACAGGCCAGAGATGCGGAGGGTGAGAGGGTTCACCAGAGACAGAGTAGGGAGCAGAACAGGCAGATCAA